TTCAGCATGTATTAATAGCATCAAAATGTGATAAATACTGTGACATTATTTACTGGAATCACCTTTTACAAATAATTGCATTTTATGTTCTTTTTCCGCGTACTCTGTTGAAAAAGAAAGCTGCGCCAATTGGCGCTAACCTTTATTCGCCAAGTCGTACACGTTTTGGTTTTGTAAACAAGTACTGCCTGCAATTAAAAAAATAAGTAAATAATAATATATAAAAAATAAATAAATAAAATAAAAAAGCTATTATTATTAAATTATTGAGATAAGATTGTGTGATATGTTTACTTTGTTAAAAAAAAAAAAAAAAAAAAAAAAAAAAAAACTAATTCAAAATCTATAAATGAGCTGAAAATCTGTATAATAGTGTAAATAGTGTACCTTAGCTAATAATGCATGAATAAATCCTAAATTTTTTAAATTTAAGCTAATGCATAAGAATGATCTGGTAAAGCAGGAATAAAGTGGCAGTGAATTCGAACTTACATTATAGGTATAAGGAATAAAATGGTATTAACTCGTAATGTCAACAGATTGCCTATACTTAAAAGTGCCACCTATTTATAACTTAATCACCTCAATATTTGATTGCAGAGTTTTTGCTTTCATAGTAATATTTGTTTAATTTAAGATTTTTTAAAAACCTTTTCCTTTAAAACTATTTTTTAGCAACATAAATATATCATAACTATAGAATTTTTTTTTTAAATTTATAATAGGTGTTAAAGTGATTTTTAGTAAGAGTTAAATTTAAAAAAAAAAAAAATCCTTTTGAAAACAGGCCTTCTTAACTTTTTTGTTGCATACAAACAGTGTATATATATATATAGTTTGTCAAAAAAAAAAAAAAAACCATCAAAAAACTATATCTGAGTGAACCTTTTGCAGGTTTGAATGAGGCTTTCATCATTATAACTTTTACTAGTTTTTCACTTTCTATTCATAAAAGCTTTTTTTTTTTTTTTTCTGTGAAACAGTCAGTTTTTATTTAAAGCCCTGTATTTGTTAAATATAAAGCATGTATTTTTAATTTGTAGTTTGTATTTTATTTACACTGTTTTATATATTGATTTTTTAAAAGTAAATATCACATTCTTTATATATCTATAAAGATTTCAATAGTTTTACAAGCTAATTTTTTTTTAATTTATATTATCTCCAAAAAAAAAAGTTTCATAAGTCAAATTTCCCATATCAGAGCCTTATATAGGGTAATGTATTTCATAAAGATATGCATGTAGTATATAATAATGTGTAGTTTCTATATTTTGGCCAAATTGTGTGTTTTTGTGTTAAAAAGCTCATTACTTATTCACATATCAAAAATAGGTAATTTGGAATACACTTGACTACTAGTTTGAGTAGGTGATTTTTGGTACTTGTTCCTGATATACTTTAGAAAAAATAATTTAAATAAATAAAAAAATAGCATTAATCCACTTAAATCCACTTACTTTATAGTAAATACTATACAGTCAAAAGTCGTTAATCCGGACTTCGGCGATTCCGGATTATCGATTTTTCCGGATTATAGATCATCAGTTTAAATCTCGTAAGATGGCATGCAGAAATTCTAAAATTAAAAATATGAAACCGTAATTTATGAAATAAAGAACAATTATGATCTAAAGGGTATCAAAATTTACAAAAAAAAAAAAAAAAAAAAGCTTAATATTTATTTTGTTTACTTTATTAAACATTTCTTTCAATGTAAGTTGTTTAAGTTGCTTCGTTTTTATGTGATATACTTTCTCTTTAATTCTATAAACAGACATAATTTCTTGTTCAGTTACAAAGTTCCGCTGTTCAAGTCCCGTTAATTGCTGTGCCGAGAATACCGACTAACTTGTCAATCGAAATTTTTTTCGTTTTCACTAACCTCTCTGTCACATTCTTCATGTCTTTATCCATTTTTTTGCAGCAATTCCACTTTTTGTTTGATGGACATCGAAACATACTTTCGTTTTGTAGATCCTTTGGAGCTCCAGAATCGGAAATTCTATTTGACATAATCGAAAGTTCAAGTTTACTTTTTATAAATTGCTCTTACAGGCTGCAAAAAATAATAAGCCGGATCCAATTCGAAAATTAAGGAACAACGCAATCATCAACATTAACTGAAATAGATAATTTTTAGTTTATACCATCCGTTATACATAAAACGCTCACGCGAAAACGTATTCTGCACTTGCGCCCACGCATATGCGCAGACGTAAAAGGTCTTACGCGCACGCGTAAACGCCTCTGTGCATGTGTCAACGCGGCACATGCGCAGAAAAATTTTAGCTTTGAGGTTCGGATTATAGATCATTCCGGATTATGGGTGTCCGAATTAACGACTTTTGACTGTATTTAGATGCACATTTTCGTAATGTGTTTATTTAATTGGGATACATGAATAAAATAGAGAATATGTATTGTCATGTTTGAATTTATAATTCAGAAAGAAAATTTTATTTTGGAAATGTACATTTTACAGCTGATGTGCAAAATATGAAATCTTACTAAATTTAATGTATAGCAGCATACAGTTAAGGCAGTAGCTTCCAAGTTTGCATGAAATTATTTTCTGGACATTGCTAAGTTTATAAGCACTTTAATATGCAAGTAACTGAATAAAATAGGCATTTACAATCAGTGAAAGATCTTTTTAAAAATAAAAAATTTCTTTACTATCGTACATTTCCAGAATGCAAGTACTATTGGTAACACTGAAAGGTCAAAGGTAAATGAAATTGTTCCAAAAACTATTTCTGACTTTAAATTAAGTAAATTATGTTTACTTAAATATAAGAAGTAAATTTTTTCTGTAAAGATTCAGTAATATTTTATCTTAAGATATTTTACCATGAAAGTCAATCTGTAGTATATATTTCATGAATGCAAAATACATATATACAATGTGATTTTCTTTTCTCTTTAGGATGCAATGCATTAAAATTAAACGAGATTTTTTTACCTTCTCAAATATTATAACAGTAGTGCAATTAATTTTTAAACGTTATTCAAAATTAAAGTTTCCATCTCAATTTTTTTTATTTATTTTCTTCCTAAAATTATTTAACCTAAACATCTTAAACAATGGTGCAAATAATTTAAAGCGATTATTAAAAATATAGATAAAATATTCAGGAAAAAAGGGGTTAAGTTATATCTAAATATAATTGTAAAAAATCGAACAACCTAATTCGAGGCCGTTGTCTGCTGACTGCTAGCAGACGGAAATAAAAAGCACTACCTGCCATATCAAAAGCGGGCCAAACTGGCGATGAACAGCCTAAGCTATCACTCCCCAAGAGCATTAGTCACGTGGTATATGTTGGAGACACCCTAGCAGACGAATTCTCTGTGGGTGAGCCGTCTACCTGTTATATGAAGTCTGATATACCGATTTGTTGCAATTCTTTGCTTGTTATTTTGGCTTGCGAAGCGGCGATCCAAAAATCGGCTGCACAAACCAAAATAACAAGACAAGAATTGCACACTCGTATCCTGACACTCAACTTATTTCACTTAAAAAAATCCCCGAATGCACAAAACATGGCCCCACTTCTCCATGTACACGTTGACCTATTTCACTTAAAAAAAATCCTAAATTGCACAAACTTGCATTGCGCACTCCCTTACTTTGTTCACGTACACATCATATATTTTCACTTAAAAAGTCAAAAAGCACCAAATTCCACAATATAGGCAACAAAATACATAACTTAATAAAATACATTTTAAACAAAACCAAACAACAAAATAAAAAAAAGGAAAAACATGTTATACATTTAAGCACTACGAAAAGCAAATATTCACTTACCATGAATTTCGAGTTCACTCCACACACCCAGAGCCATGTAAAAATCAAAATATCAGTCATACTCAAATGACATTTTTCAAATCAGGTACTCTTTCTGATCGAACGCTTCACATAGTGACCATCTGAACCTTTCTTCCTACAAACCCATTCAAATCCGTCTAAACGGTTTTTTACGTTCGACTAGACGCATATCCTTCCTACGTACAGGACACTTATAATGGCTACCAAGTAAACCTTCATTTGCACACCAGTCAATTAAAGCTCTTTTCCCCTTTCGCTTCAAATCGTACAGAAACTTCAAATTAATCTTACTACATTCAGGCCATTCTACCATCTAAACAATCTAAAGCCAGCACACATCACAAAAGCAAAAATGCTTACAAAACATCCCATGATTCAAAATTTCCCAAAATCATGCACCCGATTACGTCACAATAGAGTTTCCATAACATTCAACTATTCAGGCTACCATAAATGAAACAACAACTTGGCGATAAATTAAACAACAATTTCGCCATAATACAAGGGGTACTTTAAAGTCTACTCTACCCCAGAATTTTTCCTTGCTTTGGGAAACAGCCAGAATTTTCGGGTGAACTATTATAATTAAAAATACACTGAAATGGTTCATCAGCTAATTCTGGATACAGAAAAGCAAGGTTTTTGTAAAAGAGAAATTTCAATTAATTTCAAAATGCCTCCCTCCTATTGAAGTGATATTGAGGTTGATTGAATTCCTCTTCTGTTTTTGTTCATTTTTCTTTTAATTTCATAATTTTTGAAGTGCGGTTTTGCTTGTTTGAAATGTTTAGGTTTTAACATTTTTAAATTCATTGTTACATTTATATGATTATTGGAAATTTATTAATTATGAATTTCCTTTATATATAAGTAATTTAATTTATTAATTATGAATATTATTATATAAAATTATATAAAAATTATTAATTATGAATTTCCTTTATATATAAAGTAAGAAATTTAGAACTCTCACAAAGAAATTGAAATTCATAATTAATAAATTTCCAATAATCATATAAATGCAACAATGAATTTAAAAATGTTAAATATATATACATACGCAAAACAAGAATTCATCGTAAATGACAGAATTCTTAAAAACAAGCAACAGAAATTAAAATTCCAGATTTCTTATTTTTATGAACAATAAGAATGCAAATCTTACCACTTTTCTGAAAAGCCATTATACATCCATAATTCACAACCACCGAAGTAAGTGTTAGTTAGAACGCCCGGGTTTTCCTATGAAAAATTGCGATTTAACTTCAAGGCTTAACACAAGAAAAATATAAAGTACGAGGAAAAAAGAATTATAGCAAAACAAAATTAATTAAGATTAGATAATTTAGGATTTTACTTACTCTGTATCCTCCCCACACATACATACATTTTTCATGTACAGCAGCAATATGTCCTGTTCGCCCAGGAGGCGAATCATTTTCTGCTGTTCGAACTATATCATCCATTGAGCAATGAATCGGTACTAACTTCGGAAAGAATCACAATTTACCTCACCTTAAAGCGTTTACTAATTATATCTTACAGTTGTTTACAAGTTGACGGTCAATGACTTTCCATTGCAAAATCTGGTAGCGATCCAATATTAGATTTCTCAAATGCGTAGACCAGTTTCTCAAAGGTTTTACTCAGTTTCTGCCTCCTCGGTTTCAACTAAGCTGGCCTTGCTTTCTGTTTCTACTGCGGAGTTAAATACTCTGCGTTTGAACGTTAATAGTGTTGAGAAAACAAAAAGTCATACATACCCTGAGGAAAAATAAAGAAAAATGCCCTGTTGTGGAGATAAATAAAAAATTGACACAAATATTACGTATTGCGTGATTCTTATATTTATCATGAAATGCAACAGTTGTTTTTAATAGTATATTATTTATATGTGAATCACTGTTAATTGAAATCTTAATAAATATTTTATTATTATTTTTACTGATTGCTTAAGCGTAATCAAACAACTCAACTCACCAATATACTGTTTGTTATGATTTCCGTTGTATTGACTGTCTTGAAACAAGTGATACTTTCATAATTTGTTTTAATGTTGTAAATTTTTATTTAGATCATAACAGTTGTGTAATTTTTTTTTAAGTTTCAGTAAGTGATTTTTCATGCACGTTTTTTTTTAGTACTGTATACTTTACGCATATATTATTATGTTTTTAAGTTCGCAATTAATAATATTCATTTAAATTGTACATTTTTTTGCTTCTGTTGTTTGGAATGCGATCTGGAAAGTTTTCTACTATTTTATTAACTTATTAGTCCATAAAATCATAAAAATTAATGTAAAATGCTACTGAAAGAAAAGAAAGAAATTTTCGATAGGAAAACCTGACAGAACAAACTCTGTTTTTGTTATGTTACATATTCTGTCAGGTACGTGAATATAGGTTTCCCATACTAATCCTAAGATTAAAGAAGAGAGCATGACCTGGAAATATGGCTGTTCTGTAAATAAAAAGTGTCGGTAAAAGTATATTAATGGGTACCCCTTGGCGAAAATTGGCCGTACATGGATACCGAGTTTGTGCAATTCTTTGGCTTGTGTAGCAGCGCCGTTACACAAAGCCAAAATAGCAAGACAAAGAATTGCACAAACTCGGTATCCATGTACACATCAACGTATTTTCACTTAAAAAAAAATCCCAGAATTGCACAAATTTGGCATTGCACACTCCCTTAACTTTATCGATGTACACATCGACTTATTTTCATTAAAAAAAAAAAAAAGTCATCAGAGAATTGCACAAAGTAAGCATTGCACACTCCCTTGACTTTGTTCATGTACACATCGAACAATGTTCACTAAAAACATCAAAGGAGCGGTCAACAAAAAATATATATAATCTCAATAAACCACATTTTAAATCAAACAATGACATAACATGAAAAGGGAAATTCATCGTAGCACTACATGAAGGAAATATCCATTTACCTTATTTTATGAATTTATGTGTCCTCAGTCAAACAAAATTCCTTAACATCATCCAAACACTTCCTAAAATTATCTGAACTAGAACCTATACTGACCTCACCACATAAATTCACAAAAATAAGATTAAAAAATGTCCTCCAATCGAAAATATCCGATATTCGAACATACACATTTCCTTCCTACAAAGAGGACACTTAATAATGGCTACTAAGTAAACCTTCATTTGCACACCAATCAATTAATGCTTTTTTACCTTTTCATTCCAAATTGTACAGAAACTTCAAATTAATCTTACCACATTCAGCCATTGTACCGTGTAAACCACAAAATAACAACGTACTTATCTAATGCACACATTCAACTACTCAGGTTACCATATAACAGACAACTTAGCGATAATCCAAGGGGTAACTTTAAATCTATTCTAACCATAATGGTAAGTGAACCAACACATTTATTTTTAATATAACCCTTTCCTATGGCAAAGCACTTTTCTCAGACTTTTCATTTAATCTCTGAGAGAAAAATTCCTCAAGTTGTAAAAACCAGTTATAAATGTCATTCATAGCATCATCTTCACATATAGAATACGTACTGCAGTGTTCATTCGGCTGATCTTTAGAATATGGTAACGGGTAGTTTGGCGACATTTTGGAGGCGATAAAGGTTACTATCTAAGACTTTGGTAATAATGTGAGAAGTACTCGGTTCCGATTACGCATTATTTTGTGTGAGGGAAATGAGAGATCATGAGATATGTCATGTGACATTAATGGACGAATTACAGTTCTTTAATCAGAAAAGGGGGTAAATTTGGAAAAATTATTTTGTATTAAGCTTCATTGTGTGTGTGTTGTGTGAAATAGTGTTGATTAATTTTTGGATTGCATGGCACTATGTTAAGTGAATTTTAAATTTTTAATGCGTTTATCTGATAATAATAATAAGTTGAGATTGTGTGAAAGGAAGGATATTGCAGATAAGTTTGAATGGCGGTGCAAGAAATCTGGTGAAAATTGACATTTTGTGAAATGGAGTGTAAGGAAAGGTACGTGGTTTGCTGAAAGTAGTTTGAGTATGGGTGAATGTTATTAATTCTTATTAATTGTGAATAGACTGCCAGTTGACTACTGGATTTCGGATTTAGAAATTAGCAGTAGTACTGGCGCGATTGAACTCTTTCTGTAGGGAAGTGTGCGTGCCACGTAATGAAGATTCTGAAGAAGATTAGGTAAGTTAGTATTTTTAATCATTTGAGATATTATTTTTATGCATTGTTCTAAATGTAAGGAGTAAATAAATTAATATGGTATTATTGGAAAATTGTTATTAGCAATGATTTAGTTTAAAGTAATTAGGATTGTAATCTAATTTTATTAATTAATTAATGTATGTGCTTATTTATATTTTAAGTAGTGTTTTTTTAATTTAATTATATTTTAATTTAATGATCGTGATTTTGTGAGTTATATGTTTTGTATTTTTTTGGAATACGTTTGAGTAGTATACGTTGAGTATTTTCATCATTTTCGTGAAATTTTTCTAATTTATGACAAAAAAGCAGTGCACATGGATTTAGTGAAGAGTGGTGCGCAATGCCATTTTTGTGCAATTCTGGGATGTTTTTTTTAAGTAAAAATAAGTCGATGTGTACATGGTTTAGTGATATTTTAATTAAGTGATAGTTATTTTGTGAATTTTATGTTTGTAGGAATTTGGTATACGTTTCAGTTGAAGTAAACGTATGGAAATAATTTAAATATTTGACACTAAGTATTTGTAACTATTTTTAATGTTTGTGTATAAATTTGTTGGTGACGTTTATAATATAATAGATAATTTGGCTGATCTTTCGAATATGGTAACAGGTAGTTTGGCGACATTTTAGAGGTGATAAAGGTTACTACATTGGACTTTGGTAATAATGTGAAAAGTACTCAGTTCCGATTACGCATTATTTTGTGTGAGGGAAATGAGAGATCATGAGATATGTCATGTGACATTAATGGACGAATTACAGTTCTTTAATCGGAAAAGGGGGTAAAAATTTGGAAAAATATCTGTAGTACTATATTATTTTGTATTAAGCTTCATTGTGTGTTGTATGAAATAGTGTTGATTAATTTTCGGATTGCATGGCGCTATGTAAAGTGAATTCTAAATTTTTAATGCGTTTATCTGATAATATTGTAATAATAAGTTGAGATTGTGTGAAAGGAAGGATATTACAGATAAGTTTGAATGGCGGTGCAAGAAATCTGGTGAAAATGGACATTTTGTGAAACGGAGTGTAAGGAAGGGTACATAGTTTGCTGAAAGTAGTTTGAGTATGGGTGAAATTTTATTAATTTCTTATTACTTGGTGAATCGACTGCCAGTTGACTACTGGATTTCGGATTTAGAAATTAGCAGTAGTACTGCAGCCGATTGGAACTCTTTCTGTAGGGAAGTGTGCGTGCCACGTAATGAAGATTCTGAAGAAGATTAGGTAAGTTAGTATTTTTTAATCATTTGAGGATATTATTTTTAAGCATTGTCTAAACGTAAAGAGTAAATAAATTAATATGGTATTATTGAAAATTGTTATTGCAATGATTTAGTTTTAAAGTAATTAGGATTGTAATCTAATTTTTATTAATTTAATGTATGTGCTTATTTATATTTAATTAGTGTTTTTTAATTAATTATATTTTAATTTAATGATCGTGATTTTGTGAGTTATATGTTTGTAGTATTTTGGAATACGTTTGAGTAGTATCGTTGAGTATTTTTCATGCATTTTCGTGAAAATTTTTCTAATTTATGAGAAAAAAGCAGTGTACATGGATATAGTGAAGAGTGTGCGGAATGCCATTTTTGTGCAATTCTGGGATTTTTTTTAAGTAAAATAAGTCGATGTGTACATGGTTTTAGTTATATTTTAATTAAAATGATAGTTATTTTGTGAATTTTATGTTTATAGCAATTTGGTATACGTTTCAGTTGAAGTAACGTGCATGGAAATAATTTAAATATTTGACACTAAGTATTTTTTAATGTTTGCGGTAGAAATTCGTTGCTGACGTTTATAATATAAATAGATAATTTAGAGGTAAAAGTTTTTGGATATTTATTTATTTTATACGTGGAAATGTTCATCCTTGGAAAAGGGTATACTTTTTTTTTTCGCGATCAGGTAATTTCATATATGTGCTTTTTACCGAGTCTAAAGATTCAGAAAATTCTGCATTTTCGTGCAAATTTTTGTAATGAGAAAATAGCAGTGTAGATTGATAAAGTTAAGAGTGTGTGCAATGCCATTTTTGTGCAATTCTGGGATGTTTTTTTAAGTAAAAATAAGTCGATGTGTAAATGGTTTATGTGTATGTGCTATTCTGAAAAACACGCAAGGAGTTTGCGATTGTGCACTTTTCCCAATTTTGCAGTTAATATTTGTCATGATTATGCAGTTTTGTTACATAAAATTTCTAGCATAAGTGTAAAATTCGGCTAGTAGATTATTGGAAAAAGTGTTGAGTAAATAAAAAGAAAAGAAACATGTCTTTACTTCGTGAAGACAAAATGGCGGCGAAAAAAAAATTAGAGGGTTGCTGTAGCAGAGTTGGTCGCCAAATTTTCGCCAAAAAATCGACAAGTTACCATAATCCAAAGATCAACCATTCATTCTTCAGGTTTTTAAAGAGTTTTTACCATTAAATTTAAATCTTGTCTCACTTGAAGAAAGATTGTAAAAGGTGAAATAGCAGTTGATATTCTGCAGCTTTGGCCTTAGCA